AGCCAGGCAGGCAGGCAGGCAGAAATGCACACACTCACCCCAGTCCGGCAGACATGCACACACACGCACGCGCACACACACCAGCCAGGCAGACACACACACAAGCTACGGAAAGACACACACACACCAGCCAGGCAGACATGTACATGCACATACACACACACCAGCCAGGCAGAACACACACACACACAAGCCACAGAGAGACACACACGCATATACCAGCCAGGCAGACACACACACACACACACACACACACGTGCGCGCACGTGCACACACACACCAGCTAGGCAGACACGCACATGCACACACCAGCCAGGCAGGCAGGAAGATGCACATACATACAAGCAAGCCACAGAGAGACACACACCAGCCAGGCAGACACACACATACACCAACCAGGCAGAACAGCAGAGACTCCCTGTGCCTGAAGAAGGGTGACTGCATCCAAAAGCTTGCTAAGAACTTTTTTCCAACAACTCAGTTGGTCTAATGAAAGATATCATGTCTACCCCAAGAACCTTGCCTGTATCAGTACAAACACATTTCTATATATTTAGCTATGAAGAATTTTTCAATGAAGCTCTTACCAGGAGCAGTAGAATATGCATATAAAAAGTCTGCTTCTATAGGTATTCTCTGACACATTCTTTCCTCTGGTCCACTGTCTGTCTCAATGCCAGGATCCAAATCTGTCCCTCTACAAGCCTACTTGGTAAAGAAAAAAACGTTGAAGACATAATCACAATATTTACTGTTAATTAAAACTTTAATTCAAACATAGTTTGAAGAGCTGTTTCACATTTCAAAAACCATTAAATGAATCAAGAATGAGAATCCTATTGTCAGAATGCCAAGTAAAACAATTTGAGTTTCTGTAACTGATTGCCCCAGTTCTAGTAAATTAAAGGTTTATTCATTTAACATAGAATCATAGTATCAATAAGTCGGAAGAGACCTAGACAGATCATCGAGTCCGACCCCCTGCCATGGGCAGGAATGAGCACTGGGGGGTGGAAGGGGTCATAAGACCCCAGCCAGATGCCTCTCCAGTCTCCTTTTGAAGATTTCCAGGGAAGGTGAGTGCACCACCTCTCTGGGAAGCGTATTCCAGGCTCTGGCCACCCTTACAGTGAACATGTTGATTTCATATTTAAGAACTCATTGAAATTCTAACTAATGTTTTAAAGCAGGAGTGCTCAATCTCCAGCCCGTGGGACAAATGCATCCCATGGAGCCATAGGTATTCCAGCCTTCAGGGCTGCCCACAGATTGGGAAATTTGGCTGCAGGGGAGTGGTGGCAATAAATATTGCCACCCTTCCCTACTGCCAAATTCCCAAACCCCAACCCCATGCAGCAGGCTGGGGCTGGGCCATGCCTCTTCTCTCACCTCCATGGCAGGATGAAGCCAGGTTATATCCCTTTCTCTGGCCTGGATGGGGCTGGGCAATGCTCCCCACCTTACCCGTCTGCAGGGCCAGGCTGGGGCTTGGCCATGCCCCCTCCCCCTGCACTGAGCTAGGCTGGGGCCCCTGGATGCCCCCTGCACCCCTCAGTGCAGCTGGATGGGGCCCTGCTGCAACCACCCTGTGCCAGATTGGGACCAACAAGATCCGGCTCGTGGACGACCTGGGCACTGCCCACCCGGCCAGCTGGCCAAAAAGGTTGAGCACCACTATTTTAAATAATTCTTTCAATTACCCCTCTGAAATTCATAGCTTAGCCTATCATATCAACTGGCTATCTACAAAGAGCCAGAGTCATGCCTCTTGCACTCATGGAAAGTACTCTATTCCTCAAGCAGGAAACAAAGGAAGTATAAAACTCTTGGCTTTGCCTCAGTGCCTAAGGGAAACTTGCACATAGTAAGTATTTACCAAATCAGCTGAATATTACCTGAATAAAGAAGAGTTTTGGCTTTCCAACTAGAGTCTTGCAACTTTGACCTTTGAAGAGTCCTGTTAACATTTTCAGCTCAAGAGGACCATCTGTACCAAAGATCACTCCCTCTTCACCATGACTTAACAACACACAAACAAAACTGCTCTGCTTGCTGTGATCTTCTTTAGCAACTAGAAAGAAAAGATAAATACTTATATTCAATTTATGTATTTATTTTAGGAATTCTGACAATTCCTGGGTGCATCTACACATGCCCTTTACTGCAGTTGACTAATTAGCTCTGCAGTAAAGCATTACTGTCTACATGTGTGCCAGTATTTGGCTACAGTAAATTAACTAACTTCACCGTAGGATAGTCCTACCCCACCCCACCTGCCTCGAAAGCCACTCAGTCAATTTTAACTGCTGGCAAGAGACCTTGTGGTCCGGTCTTTTGAACTTTAGAAAAAGAAACTAACTAAATCAACATTCTGCATTTTTGGGAGCAACACTGACATCTTGAGTAAAGAGCTGCTTGACAACCAAAACTGACTAGTACAGTAACATTCCCCCTGCTTGCCAGAACAACTTCAATGAGGGGGTGTGTAGTTTCCTGAATCACTGGGTCACAGTGGATCAGATGCCTTGTTGGACAGTGGAAGAGCCAAGAATACCAATTCAAGCTTCTATCATAAACATTTATAAGTTGTTTCCTGCAACACCTATCACTATTATATGCATAGTTTCAGGTTAACATTAACTTCATGCCCCACTGAGTTCATTCTTTGAGTGCTATTGCAATTAATCCTCTTATTTTTTCCTAATTACCCTACTTTACATTAAAGTGATCCAGAACGCTTCACCTGAATTATATTCTTCTTCCAGAAGAACATGTAACTCATCTCTGAATCAAACTCAAAATATCCTGCTGGGTTTTTACAAGTTCTTCATAAGCTTTCACTGTGTTGCCCTTTGTGCTTGCCTTGTCCCCACTGTTGTTCTCCCTACAATTTTTTCAGATCAGGCAAGAAAGTTGGTCTTATTTTTCCATTATATAAAGTTTTCTTGCTGTTCTGTTTTTTCAGGGTTCAGATTCCTTAATCAAAACATGGCTAAATGAGACCTGAACCTGACATGCTGAGTGTATAGCAGGTTCTTCTGCTGCATTTCTCCTAATATGGAGCAAATACCTTTGCAAAACTGATTCTTGGGGTGCAGGAAAGACTGTTGAAATACTGTGGCCATATCCCCATAATAATTACAGAAGTAATGGTAGGAATAGAAGCAGATTTATAGCAGCAGTAAATATGAAAGTTAAGTCATGATACAGGAGGAAAATGTAAATAAAATTTAAAATGAAAAATATTATTTTAAGTCAATTATTGGTAGTTTTAATATATGTTAGAAGTACACAGTGAACAGATCCTTACGGGAAGGAACTTTAAAGTCTAGGATAGATTAAAAATAATTCTTCATTCGCTTTCCAAAGCAGGGGCTGTGAGAGGAAAGCAGTGATGAAGCAGTTGTGAACACAACTCTGAAGTGAAAGGAAGTTTAGATTCTGACAGTATTAGTAAACTACATATAGGATGCAATCCTGCAAGGTGAAGAATGTTCTGGGCTAATTCCACAAAATATTTAAGCATGTGAACAATGTTACTGAAGCTAGTAGATTATAGATGAGTTTTAAAATTAAGCACATTCTTTGCTGGGTCTTCCCAAGTTCTCAGCATCTCAGAGGATCCAGCCCAAAGACCCTGAAATAACAGAAATCATACTTTTTTTTGTAGCCATGATTTTCTACTGGTTAGAAATGTTTGCTATTCACTCGCTAAGTGTTTGAAGAAATGTATACCAGGAGTGTCAAACATACGGCCTGCTCTATCCAGCCTGCCACGCTACCAGCAAACCACCAGAAGTTGGGGGCATGCCCTGCTACAAAGTTCAGAGCCCTTACACTCTGCTGGCCATTGCCGTTACCAGTGAATTTGGTTTGCTGCTGCCACCTCCAGATCTCAAATCTGGACCCACTGGTGCTGCCAGTGGATCCATGCCCCAGACCCACCACCACCACCACTGTAAGATCACTACACAGGGAATAAAACCTGCTCTACCTATCATGCAGGGACAGGACCTCACTACAGGGCTGGTTCTGACTGGTGCTCCTCACACTGTTGGGATGTCCCTGGGGAGGGGAGTGGAGTGGGACCCCTCACTGCTGCCCACAGTGGCAATGGCAGCCACCCCCATGGACCCGGTCCATGAGGAGCCCTGCAGATTGGATCTGGTGTGGAGCTGTTAGTGAGTTCAACACCTGTGCTTTACACCATAGCAACATTGTAATATGCATGCCTAGTAGGACTGTGCGAAGCTTTGGTCCCCGATTAGATTCGGCAGAGATCTGGCCTGATTCAGTGGCCAAATCTCCAAATCCAAATCAAATCAGGAGATCCTTTAATCTCTCTGAATCGAATCAGAACCCTCTGAATCGATTCAGAGAGATTTGGAAGGATTCAGAGATTTGGACATAGACAAAGCTTTAAATGTTTTTCCTACAGACCTCATGGTACCAGGGAGCTCGTGAATGCTGGGGGTCCTCCCTTGTGCCCCACTAGCTGGTGCCTCCTGGGTCTGAAGGGGGAACCTGGGGTCCCCCTGCAGCCGATTGCCAAGCTGAGTGGGTGCGGGGGCCCACAGTGTGCTCTCTGGTGAACCCGGAAGTACTTCTGGTCCACTTCCAGGTTCACTGCTGAGCATGTGTGGGAGTTCACCGCCAAGCACACTGCGCTCCTGTGGGACACTCCATCTGTCCTGGCATTGAAGTGCTCATGAACCATGCCTGGTACCTTGAGGTACATAGAAAAAACATTTAAAGCTGTGTCTATAGCTGAATCACTGAGTCTCTGAATCAGGACTGAATCTTCAGATTCAGATTTGGCCTAATCAAATCAGGGACAGTGATCCGAATCAACGAATTGAATTGCTGTCTTGGATTCAGCCCGAATCAGGGACTTGAATAGGGCCCGTTTCACACACCCCCAGTGCCTAGCTTATTATTACTTACCATTTTTCAAAAGGGTAAGAATTTGCTCACATTTAAGATCATTGTTAAGCTTGACTTTGTAACCTAAAGTTATAAAAGTTTCTCTGATAAGTGCAGCATCTGCATCTGTACCGGATCGGAATGCCATTCCTGTAGATTAAAAAAAGATTTACTGTGAGTTCATTATGAAAATACAATGTGAGTGAGATATCAGAGCTAAATACTTTTCTCAGTTATACTCAGATAACTCTGGAATAACTCCATTGAAACCAATGTTATTTCAGATTTACACCTGTGTAAAAAAAAGCATCAGCTCACACTAGCCATTTATTTAGAGAATTAAAGGTTATTCATTAAAAAAAAAAATCAGCATTTTTCTTCTGAAAAAGGAATGCTGTGAAAAAATAATCTATGGCAAGTACTGGCAACCTTTTTAAGCTGTAGGTCAGAGGGTCCAGTCAGGCATAGCCTGGGTGGTTTTGGTGGTGTGTCAGCAGCGAAGGGGCTTTGCCTGAGCCTGTGCTAAGGCCAAACAGCTGTGAGCTGTGCTGAAGCCAGGGGAGTTGAAAGCTACGTCTGCGCTGCTTCCACTTCTCCCAGCTGCCCGGCCACTCACTCCTCCCACTTCCCCCTCAAATCTTCTCTGCCCCCAACAGCAGTGCAGGCACAGCTGGAAGCTGCCCAGCCCTGGCTCAGATGGAAACTGCCTGCACAGCAGCCGAGGAGAAGGAAGTAGAGAGAAGTGGTGACAATGAGAGCACAGCTTCCAGCTGCCCATCCCTATCATAGCTCCTCACTGCTCAGCCCCAGCCTGGGTGTAAGCAGAGGCCTGTAGGCTTTATGTTGTCTATGACTTTAAGTAATGTGCCAAAACTGAAGACCTGAGATGGGTTTGCATTGCAAACCAGTTTGTTAAGGATTTCAAGTTCCCTATTCCTATACTCTGGTGTATTCACAGATTCCTACCCCTCACATATTTTGCAGTATGTACTGATCAAATTTTTCTTACAAATATCAAGACCATTTCGTTGCATATTTAAATTTTGAAGAAAATTACGTGTTATTGCTTTATCTCAATTAAGACAAAAATGTAAAAAGAACATAGAAATAGCAGTAGATACCAGTGTCTTGATGGAAGTTCTTATTATTTACTATTACACACATCCCCATCTCTGGATAATCCATTCTGTAACGGTCATCTGGCAGTATTTCAGAGTCCATGGATTTACCAGCAGGTGGGTTCTTTCTGAAACCAGGAAATATAAACAGATGAGTTTATAAAGTCCACCAAGCATTCATAGAAATAAAACGTCCTCAATCCATTTATAATCTTGCTATAATGTTATATCAGCATTAATATTGTTATGATACAATTTTCATCAATGAAAATATCCTTGATAAGTTCCACTCAGTTTCACGCAGGTACAGGTATTCACCTGTGTTAAACAGCCTGCAGAACCATGCTGAACAGTAAAGCTCCAGCATGTGAAACTGTGTGTGTACAGTTCTATTGAACATAGAGTTAGACAAATAAAAAAAAAAATCTACTTTTTTGTATTGCATCTTGACTTCTTTAATTTGCAATTTTTAACAAGGTTGGACTACGTGCCCAGGAAGTGCATCTACTTCAACAGTGTAGACAGACAGGTGATGCACATAATTGATTTTGAGATAAAGTGAATACAACCCTCAGTTCCAACCCACACAATACCCTTTGAAAGGTCCCCTCTCACCACAGTAAAATTAAAGACACCCCACTCACTGTTTAGAGCCAATGAAAGATTTTGCATCTGCTACATCTTCCCCTGACTGCAGTCCGGCTTCTAAGTCTGCCATTGTTGTTCTCTTTTAATGTGAAAACCTAATAAAACAGAAATGTATGAAACCAATTCCTCCTTTCAGTTTATATATGCATTGCTTTATTACCACAAGGAACTACAAGATAACTTCAACTGAGGCAACTGGTCAGCATGACTGAATTTGTATAACTGATTTTTTCTGAATATTGCACATTTGGAAAGACTCATACGACCCGTCTGTAGATAGTATTGAGTTCTATATTAAGTTTAATCACTCAGGAAAAAAGACATAGAGGTTAGTCTGAACTAATCAATGACAGCACTTGCTCAAAACAGCAAATAAAATAGCAGTATGGATAAATAATTAGATAGAAAATAGCCCTGAAAAATCTTATTGTGCTATTATATAAACTGATGGAAGCAAAACTTAGATGGCTTTCTGTCACAATATCAGGGGGGTTAGATCATTTCCATCCAGAATACTGAAAGAACTGACACATAAAATAGCAACTCCTTTAGTACAGATCTTCAGGGATAGTACCCTATGCCTGAAGAACAGCAGATTTGTTGCCTGTATTCAGAAGAGTGACACAAACAATACATTAGCTTGACTTCCACAGTATGTTAAGTCTTAGATCAAATATTGAAGGAAAGAATTCTGTTTTACCTATAGTTTTGTGCTTTTTAGTTGTATGTGAGGGTTTGTAGTGACCAATTTTTAGAAATCTGTGGTTAAATGGCTGTTTATGAATGCAGGAGACTGGAGAGGCCCCTTCCAGCCCTGTGTTCCTACTTCGCATTGACTACTGTACTACAGTGTTAAATTCTGATTGCTCTAGTTCAGACATAAGAGAAACAGAAAATATCCTCAAACAGGCAGACTTTCAACTGAGGCTAGATAGTGGTTTGCAAGGTCTCTGACGAGGTAATTTACATACTCCATAGAATTACTGGGGAGCATATACCATGTACTGTATATGACTTCCTGCCCACCCAATGTACATCTACTGATAAGTCAGGTATGATTCCTGATCCAATTATAACTAGGAAATGTTTACACCGTTTTAACCTAATCCAGCACCGCTAGTTATCAGTAATGATTATTGAGACAGGGCTATCAGCAGCAACGCAAGTTAGGGTTGTGCAAATACAGTCCTTGTTTGCCCTGTTGCTGTCCATCCTGGACTGCTATCTGTTCCCTCATTTGTGCTGCTTCTGCCCCTGGATCCACACCACTGTCTGCTCTCTCACAGCTCCTACCGCCTGCTCCTGATCCAAACACCACCCACTTCTAGACCCATACTGCCACCTGCTCCCCAACCTGTGCTGCTGGCCACTCACCCTCAAACCTGAACCCAGACCCACCACAGCTGTTGTTGGCTCCACAGATCCAGCTGGGGGCCTGGAGAGAGTTACACTCCTGCTGCAACCCATAAAAAGATACAAATGTTAAAACTAGATACAGTTTATCTCTGGCTGCCCATGAAGACCACACAGTACACAGCAAATCTAAACATAAGCTTACCATTAGCTATAAACAGACTATCCACTATTTCATCAGATCTGATTCATGAAACCAGAAGTTTTTGCTGCCCAGGGCACCTAGCTGCATCCCTATGTGGCTGCTTTATAATTGGAATTATATGTGCATTGTATGTCCACTTTTTGTTCTGTGCCTGTACCCTTAGAATTGATTAGGGATCTGGTTCAAGTGGTGCCAACTGGTGAAACGAGAGTGGGGCTGATAAAGCAAATGGCATCTAACGCCTAGCGTAGAATTTGACCTTGACTGGGGATGGTGGTTGCTACTGTAACTGAAATGATAAATAGTAAAGATTGGTGCAAATATGAAGAAAAGATGGGGCTTTCAGCCTACAGCTGACCTTACATTAATTCTCACCCTCTCTAGTTTTATTCTTCTAGGGGCACAGGGACACTGAGACACAATCATTAAGGGCTTGTCTACACAAGGAAGTTAGTGCACAATAAGCTGAGGTGTGATTTTACAGCACCTACGGGAAATCCACTGTTAATGTATATCTTAGTTTGCAGCATATTAACTGCCCAGTATAGAAAAGATATTAATGTCATGTATACCCCTGAAACACTACCAGATTGTAAACCCCATGTTTAGCACCAATAAGTAGTAAGTCTATCTTTGAATTATAATGAACTGCAGTTATTTAAAAAAACCCAAACGTTTTATACAAAAAGTGTGGTAAATTCCTATTATAAAATACAAAAAAAAGGCTTTTACAATACATATTTTTGGCTAATTACATAGGCTAGAGAGGTTACAGTAACAGCTGCTATATCACTCTAATGTATGCTGTAGTCTTTTACGTGGAGGTAGCCTTTGTGACCATGAGACCTGAAGTAACAGATTGAGGTCAGTTATGTGCTGAATGCTCTACTTCCCCTTGATCTGGGCATTAAAACACCAATATATCCACTTTGTTTTCAATGCAATACCTGCAATTCACCTTTAACATCCTAGGAATTTTTGAGCATCTTAATGAAACAACCCAGCTGCACTTGTCTGAAGAACAAAAGACAGAACTAGGAGCAGTCATCTTTTTGTTGCTGGGCTCTGTCAGAAACATTATTTTCCATTCCACAATGCTGATACCAACACAAGGCAGCAGCAATGCTCTTGGGAGAAGGCTGGTTCTAGATAATTTATAGCAGTATGGCTAAGAATTACCTCATCTTACTTAGCTAATGCAATGATGTCATACTCTGTCAAACAGAGGATATATCTCTCTAAGGAGGGTGATCTCATACTATGAAGGATGAAAAAAGTACTTTGGGAAAACAGGTTCAGAATTAATTTAAATTATTGTTTTTCTTCTATAGATTTTTATTCCTTGTTTTGCTTCTATAGATTTGTATCCCTAATGCTTAAAGTATCAGCTTAGGTAAGAGAAGCTTTCAACAGTAATAGAATTGAAAATAAAATAACCACCCCCCCAAAGAAATAGCTAGTCACCACTGGCATAACATGCATCTTTTTTCCTTAGCTAGCAGAATATTTACTTTGCATTACAGGGTAGCTTCTACTCAATTTCTTATTTTTATTAATAATAAAAAGATCACAGACATAAGAGATAGATGCTACAAAAGGGGTAGAAGATATAAGTGAATGTGTTCTGTAAATTCATGTATAGGGGTGTGCGCCAAAGAAGCAATCTTTGAAGCAGGTCCAAAAATTAGAACTGCTGGCAGGTTACAAAACAAAATAATTTTCATAACCTACATGCATAGTACATTATGAATATAATTTTTTTTTAATTTAGCATAGCTCTTCCAGGTTATTCCTTTTGTTGTAACAATGATCAGTTACTAATCTTCTTTACAAAAGTCAAATGAGTTAGAGCCATTACAAATCCAGTCCCTAACTCCAGTTTAACAATGCTTCATTCTAGGACACAAGTATACATCTGAATTATGAAACATACACATTATGAGAAATTGCTATAAATTGAAATAATATTCAATTTCCTATGATAAAAAGAGTAAATAACTGAATAGTATCCAGTTACTCCACACACCCGAAAACATTCAAACACCCTGAACATTCAAATGGCTATGGACAAGACAACATGTGTTCAATATATGACAACTGTTGTGAAGTAGTGATCATCACAGCGATACTAAAATAAGCATCCCAGAACAGAAGCTATGAGTTAAGAATTTTACAAGATCATCTGTGATTTATTTTCTCTCTGCAGTTTTTCACCCTATACAATTACACTGGAAAACTGCAAATATTCTTGTAAGGCAAGACTGTCAGACACATGGCCCAAGGGCAGCATCTGGCCTGCAGAGGCACTCCTTCCAGGCTGCTAGGTTAGGGGAGGACCAGAGATTTTGGAGGCATGACCATGAGGAGCCCTGCTGCGTGGATTTAATATGGAGGAGGTGAGTTTGACACCCCTGAAATAAGAGAATAAGTAGAAAGTGTGCAAGCATGGAATACTGGAATGACCAGTACAGCTGTATAAAATGACCAGCCTAGAGGGAAAAAAGAAACAACAGACTTGAATAATAAACATTTAAACTACATTTCTCTACAGAATGTTGCTAATATTAAATACTGCACATTTTCTTACTCATGCTACTGAAATCTGGATCTGTGGAGTTACTCTCTATACAACCACAGTTCACACATGGAACACGTATTATGCTATGCTATGAAACAAAGACAACAGTAGTTATTACAATGAACTGCCTGTATACGGAACATAATACTGTAAAAAAAAAAAAAAGGGACAAAAAATTATGTTTCTTTAACACTTAAGGAAAGAATCCTGGCCCAAATGGGTGGACAAGAGATGAATAAAAAGTGCTTTCTAACAGCCACGTCCAGAAAATTATGGAGTGTTGTGAAAAGTGTTAGCGGAACTATCATCCTTCCACTGACAAAGGCTTCATGGGAATCATTGTCAGCAGTCCTCAAGTGTCAATAGGGAAAATGAGTTCCTCTCATCCCGTGGAAAGAACTGTGGTTTCTAGTCTCTTAACCCTCTAAAGCAGGGGTTAGTAACCTATGGGCCATGGCATCTGATTAGCAGAGCTGGGGTCCATAGGTGGGGGGAGGTGTGGCAGGGGGGCTGTGTCATCTGGGCAACTCAGTAGTGGGGAGTTTTCTTGTGCTGTGTTGCAGCCAGGCAGGAGAGAAAAGTGGCAGCAGGAAGAAGCGGCAGTGACAGACAAGTCCTAGTGCCAGCCTGCCTTGGACACAAGCTGGGCCATTCCATTCCACTGCTGGAAAACACCGTCAACCACTGCTCTAAACAAGTATTTCTTAAAACATCTCTTTTTATGAACCGCAGGGATAGCTTTATGGTTTGTTTGCATCCATAGATCACAGATGGCAAATGCTTAAATTAGGCTCTGTCAAGTAAAATGATGCAACATGGGGGAAAAAAAACAAACAATACATACTGCATGACACAGTAGCTGAAGCATGGAGTTACTACACTGTAATTTGGTTTTCTAATTATGCCTGTGGCCACTAAGGAAATTTCTTTCAGTAAGGCTAATACTTGATGATTTATTCTGAATTAATAGAAAATATGCTAACACAAAACAAAACAAAAAATGTAAAGCCATAAATCTACTATCAGTATAAGCCATATTGGAAAGGAGGACTGTATCCTGGAAAGCAATGACTTAGAAAAGGATTATGGGGTTATTCTAGATACCTGATGAATATATATGTCCAGTGAAATGTTTTGGCTGAAAGGATTAATTGGTAAGGCAGAAGGCAGGGCAGATTGCTCCTTGCAGACTAACTAAATCAGAGATGCATAGTATAAGCTTTTGCAAAGCTTTCATAAAGCTTATGCCAGGGGTTCCCAATCCCTGGGCTGTGGCCCCGTGGCAGGCCATGAAGGGTTATCTGCTGGTCTGCAAGAGGGCTAACTGCCAGACCGGAAGTGACCATGGACTGGAAGTGACCAGCATACTGTGGAGTAGCAGTCAACCCTTTTTTATTCTGAATATAAAAAAAGGGTTGGTTACCTGCCCACAGTATGCTGGTCACTGCTGGTCTGCAATTTGCTGGTTCACAGTCACTTCCAGTCCACGGCTTGCTGGTCTGTGGTCACTTCCTATCAGCAACCTGCTGGTCCTCAGCATAAATAGGTTGTGAACCCCTGGCTTATGCTATGCACTTCTGATTTAATTAGCCTATACAGTGCATATCTACCCTGCCTTCTGACTTAAGACTCCACTGTTGATATTACGTCCAAACTTTTAAAAGGGATGTTGAAAGATTGTAAGGACTTCAGAGAAAGTATAAGAAAGATTTGAGAACTAGAAAATATGCTTTACAATGAGAGATTTACACAGCTCAAACTATTTGCTTAAAAACTGAGAGCTAAGAGGTGACCTGGCCATGTACAATGGGAAAAAAAACCCTACAGTTCAAAGGGCTCTTTAACCTAGCAGACAGCTGCATGACAATACTTAGTAGCTGGAAGCTAAAATGAGAAGCATTCAAACTGAAATGAGGTGTAGCTATTATGTAGGAGGATAATTAACCACCGTAACCTAGGGATATGGTAGATTCACCATCATTTGAAATCTTTCAGTGAAGACTGGATAGCTTTCTAAAAGCTTTAGTACTCAAAGCATAAATTTGGGAGTAAATTAAATGGCTTAGGTTATTCAAGAAGTTAAACCATATAACAGTAATGGTGGCTTCGGGCCATAACATCTATGAATTAACAATAAGCAGAGAGACTACACTGTGGGTGTAAACTCTCCAAAAGGCTTTTCTTAGCTCACCAGCCTAACTTCTTGTATTATGCTGGTCCAATTTCAATTAGTCATTCTTCATTTATTACCTCAGCAGTCCCCAGCATTCAGTGGTAACAATACTGAAGAAATAATTTGCTGTGGGAAGCATCACACTTTGTTCTCCCTGTTAACCTAAAGTGAGATGTATCTGGGGAAAGCAAGATTTCCTGTTGCCAGGAACTATGCTGGAGTATCCTTTGGGAAACATATTTCCTGCAAGCAAAGGGGTGGAGACCAATGCAGTAGCTCATCTGATTCAAGTCCTTAGCTCTCTAAATAAAAACAATATAATCATGCATAATGAAGGATATTAAAAAAAAATGTATCGTGAGTGTGAAACTATGCGTCTATACAAAGAGGTTCAGGGAAGCCAATGGAGCTTAAGTCCACTTACTGAAAGCAACTGTTACTGTAATACTATAAACTTCACCGGTTGGCCATATGTAATATAATAAACTTTACCATTTGTGCTCAATTTCCCAGATGCTATTCAGAAGACTAGACCAATGCAGAAACAAAGGGAAGTTAGTTTTTTAAATCATTTTTTTAATTCTCTTCTTGAACATTATTTAACATCTTCAGAAGTATTTTAATGAAAGTAAAATTTGGAAATTAAACAGTATTTTGATCAGGAAAGTCAAAACAACAGGTGTCAACCATTTTAGAATTTATTTTTGATTTGCTGCAATCTGCATAAATTTGCAAAATATTTCAGTCAATCTCAAACTACATTTTTCAGCAACAACTTCAGTCAAATATGTTAACTAACTCTATTCAGAATTATTAGGCTGTAGCAAAACTGTCAAGAACTGCACTGATTTCATAGTGACACCTAAAAAATCTGGGAACAACAGAAATATCAGGCCTTGAATTTGCTCCTGGAAGAGATGACCCAGAAATGTTGGCTGGATAAAACAGCACAGACCCATTATATACAGCTCTTATACTACTTTCATCATTGTAGCAACTGAGCACTTTTTAGAGTTCAGATGGCTTCTGGGGTAAGAAACAGAATTTCAAGCTTATCTAATACCTAATGGGAGGCAGATATGCAACAAAGAAACCACAAGACATAGGTCAAGGGTTGCAACCTGACAGAAATGCCAGCACACTCCTCTTTTCTAACAGGTTCAGGTTGAGGATACCGTGGACAGGGACCCTGATGGAAACCATGGGGGCTGCAGAAACATACTATTTCCATGTCAGAGTCAAGGATGTGTGTGGGTGGTATCTTTTATTGGACCAACTGCTTTGTTGTTATCTTCTTCTCCTGTCTCTACACCACCATTGACCATTTTGTTACACATGCTCATACTCATTTATTGTACTTTGTGAGGTCTTTCATTGTACATGCACCTGCAAGCAGCAGACATTACAGCAGGAGTTGCATAGCCTGAGGCTCTGTGCCACAGTCAGAGATGGCTGAACTGATGGTATAGCTCCTTCTTCGCTAGTTTCTTGGAGCACCTAACTCTGGTACGTAGGAAGTTGAGACTCTGCCACCTTTGCCATGGTTCATCAGCCCCTAGTGGTAAGGGCTCGGCTGCTGGAATGCCCTTATTCCGCTGTCAGGTACTTTATTCAGCCTTTCATTCCACATGTGTAGGAGTCTTGTCTCCTTGAGTGTGGCATTGAGAGGTTGGGTGCCGGTCTGGAAGCTCCTGCGTGATTTCAGATGTTTGGGTGTTACAGAATGGCCATACAGTGGGCATATCACATCTTCAGTTTGTCTTAATGATTCTATCCTGCGGGCCACTGCTCTTCTGATGTCAGGCAGAGCATTGCCAGCTAGCCCTGTTTAGGCTGGTAGGCTTCAGACATCCTGTGATAGCAGCTATCGTTCAGAATAGGGTCAAGGCACTTAGTACAGGGCATGCATACTCAGCAGAGAAGCTGGAAGCCAGAGCAGTGTTTCCAGTGGTTGAGGGGCTCACTCCCCATTTCAAGCTGGTGAAGTTATGCAGAAAGTTGTTCTGAGTGCTCACCTTTGCTTTTGTCTTCATGTGTACTTTGTATGAGGGTTCGATTGAGGGCGACTAGAAGGTAAACTGGATTTGGACAGTGGGATAGTGGGGTCCCAGACATGCAGTGCCGAGCTGGTGGTTGGCCTCATGGTTTTTCAGACAGAAGGCACATACATTGTTGTGTTTTTGTTGGTGTGATACATAATTGGTTTTCAGTGTAGTATGAAGTTAGGCCAATTAGTGCTTCCATAAGGGATTTTTCAACATTGTCAAAGCTAGTGTTTGGGCTTGTTATGCACAGGTTGTCTGCGCAGATGAAACCTTTTGTTTCCAAATTGATTGGTTGGTCATGTTCTATAACAGTGGTGCAAGTATGCTTTGTTTGGGGGAGGCCATTAATCTGTCACCTCCATCTACTTCACTTCCCATCCAGTTTTGGCAAAAAAGTGTTTTTGAACTAGGTTCATATCACCTCTGTAAGGTACAGATCTTTTGTCATTTCTGGGGCCTTGTGGAGGAACTGGTGGTTAACTGTACCGTAGGCAGCTGTTAGGTTGATAAACACAGCTCTGGTGATTTGTCCTCTTCCAAAACCATCCTCAGTATCTTGAATCAAAATAAGCAGCTGGCTTGGTGTTGATTTTCCAGGGCGAAGGCTGCTGTTTGGGGATCAGGCTTTTATTTACGTATGGGGCAAGCCAGTTCAGCATCAGCTAACCGTATAATTTGTATGTGTGGTATAGCAGAGAAACAAGTTTGAAGCTCTTTGGGTCAGCTGAGTCTTGCTCAGGCAGCAGGACTTTTCAAGCCAGAGAATGTCACCAAGTCTTTGGCATTTTTTGGCTGGCTGGCTGCGCATGCGCCGCACCAGCGGAGGAGCCGTTCTAGAGTCTGGCATCCAGACTCCTGCTAACACCCCAAACCACAATGTAACCGCTCAGTTGGGACAGACCTAGCTGAGCTGCTGAATACAGTGGCCACTGGGGGAAGACAGGGCAAGTCAAAGGAGAAGTTGTAGGGAGCCAGGCAGGGACACTTCAGCAGCATTACCCGGCTCTAACTGCGTTCAAAAGCTTGTCTAAGTCTCTCCCAACCAAACCGGGGTCCAGTACAAGACTCCACCCACATAAACCCTTGCCTCTTGCCTATTTCCTGCACCAGTGAGGGGTACAACCTCACTCAAACGCTATTTCTACAGCGGCAGTTCAGGAGGCGGGGGAGAAACGGGCACCACTCCCCGCTGCCAAGTGGCCGGGCCAGCGGGGACCGCCGCGCTAGGCAGCCGGGTCCCGACACTGGGAGCAGCAGGCGGCGAAGGGCGAGGCTGAAGCTGGGGCTGGGGCGGCGCCGCCAAGTCCGCGCAGGCTCCGCCGCGTCTTGCCCCGCACCGGGCGCAGCCTTTGTCCGGCGGGGCCGCGCCGCCGCCTCCCACGCCGCGGCGAGGAGACT